ACGGCATCAGGGTCGATTTCAACTGTGTGCGATGCCTGAGACAGGTATAAGTCAACGAATAACTACACGTAAATGACGGTCACGTACCTTGACGAGCCGGTTCATAGCGGAAGACTGCGCTGCTCGAACAAGACCCTCGATTTCGGCACCAGAGAAGTTTTTCGTTAACGCTGCCAACTCGTTGATGTCCACATCACTAGCCAGCTTGTCGAATTCACGCATGCGCGCCACGTGGATGTTCAAGATCTGTAGGCGGCCCTTTTCATCAGGCAATCCTGCGCTCAAAGGTCAGTACCGCAAGCAGTTGGCTCGACAAACCGAGAAGGCGGCCTCCAACCGATCGTCGGTTATTCGTTTGTCACGAACCAACCGACAACCAGGCATGGCAGGCGTACGTCGTCTCCATATCGATTATACCTATTTCCATCTGCACCTCGAGTCTGCCAGGGCGAAGAAGAGCTTCATCGATCATGTCCAAGCGGTTGGTCATGCCTTAAAATAATTATACGATAAACAACTACAATGTGATAGGTAACATGGGTACCTATAACCAATATGTTGTTTAACTGCTCGACGCCATCCAGCTTAGCCAACAGTTGATTGACAACGGTATCGTGGACCGCCGTACTTCCGGCCTAGGTAGAACAACGCCAAACCTGTAGATACGACAAGACCAACAACAGACTCGAAGCAAAAGCCGACCTACCACTGATCCTCGTTGCTTGCAAATCGCGTCGATCTCATCGAAAATGATTATGTGCAAACCGCTGTTGATGCCAACCTGTCAAAGAGAGAAAGCGGATCATCATTATAAACGAATATTCATAAGGCAAAACGGCTAGCAGCTCAACACATACCCGCTTTGCCTCTTCCTCCGCGTCGGCGAACAGCTTTCGGATATTCGCCTCGGATTCGCCGACGTACTTGTCCAGAATCTGCGGCCCATTGATGATCTTTGGTTCGCGAGCGTTCAGCATCTTGCCGATTTGCCGCGCCATCAGCGTCTTGCCGGTTCCCGGTGGGCCGTGCAACAGAATACCGCGTACGTGCTTCATACCTAATGGATATGATGAACAAGGTTACGTGCGCAAGCGCAGCCGTTAGTACTGTCGTCCAAAGTGCTGATCACCCAACAAACTCGTCGCGGCGGTGACTAGCCGCTCTAAAAACACTAACCTAACTGTTCGATGAACTCCGGAGGAAAAACCCTCGATGCGAAAGCCCGCCGAAATATGGCTGAAAATTCATTGTCAAGACCGCCAATGCCCATTTTCTGGAAATCCCAGTCCGGATTGATAATCGATCGGAAAGCCTGTTTGCTAGACTGGCAAGCGTACTACTCAGCAACGTTGGGAATAAAGTTCAGCTTACCCTTTGCACTTGCCAACGAGCGTGATCGATGATGTCTCAGCCTTTTCGAAGATTATCGCTGAATTAGACAACAGCATGCCGACTTCGATCTGCAATAGAAAATGTAAGAAAAAAATCGCCCTACTAAAACAACCTACTTTACAGGGTGGGAGCTTTGCTGCAGTGGCATATCCTTTGAGCGTTCCAACGTTGACTGCTAAAACAGTTATGAGGTTCAACATTGAGACTGTATATTAAATGACAGCAGTACCTTCCATCTCCTTGACTTTGAGGCTAATTATCTGCTTGTCGTTCTGAAATTGGAACACCAAGTCCTGACCAACGGTCAACGCATGCTGCGGAAACTGCATCGAAAATTCACGAGCCATCACATCCGTATCGTAAGGTTCGTTCGAAATTCTACGCATCACCGTGAGTCAAAGATTGACCATTTAAAAATGCACACGAAACCCTACGTTTTCTTATTATAAAACGATGTTTCGAAGCTGACCACGCTAATGTACTGCGTGTTCGGGTCGAACGTGTACGGTCTCACCTCCAAGTCTTGATCGAGAGACAGCTGAGCCCATCGTCGCTAGAAGTTGAAGTAAGATATTCAAGAGCACTGCTAGAAACCGCTCACACGTCAACGACTACCAGAAACCATTAGTGAAAAGTACTCAATATTGAACAAAGTCGTTTCTACGAGATTAATTTAACCATTTCATGTTCGGATGACTTATTTCATAACTGCTACAAGTCAGAGAAAGTACAACAACGATGTCCATTAAAAAAATGGTAAATATTCGACTACAGATTATCTGAGTCAGGTCTAAGGACACTCTTGTACAGGCTAAGCACTTTTGCACGCATACATCGTGCACAGATACAACGTGCATTATCCGACTGACTACTGCAATGCTTAACTTATTTTGTTGGTCATAAGTGGTATTTCAGATGCTGGTATTTTCGAAAAATGTCAAAAATACTCGATCACTGGTAGGGTTTCTGAAGCAGCTCTGATGACAATGAAGGTACTGATCTAATCCATATGATAATACGAGATAAATCGACGAAGTGCAGTTTTTCAAGCACGATAAAATTAAAGCCTGCTAAAACAGCACCAGAAGCATCAAAAACCAGAGGGACGATACCATACTGCCGTGAAACACGGTTTTTGAAAAGCTATGAACTTTACACATCTGGTGGACAGACAAGCTCTTACTTTCAAAGTTTAGAGTTGAAATAGCAACGTTCGTAATACTTTAAAAAATTCACATTTTTGCCGCACATCTGCCTATGTATAATATACAATGAAAGTAAATAGGTTCTGTCTTTCTGTTTAATCAATAATGGCATCGTGGTGCCATTGATCATTGCAACAGCCTCGTCGATTGTCATGAGAAGCTACATATCTAATCGGAAGACGTCTGGGGAGGAGATGTTCACTCGGAAGACTATCAGACTCAGAACTCAAAATTCCCAGGTTCGAGTGCCTGCCAGGTTATTCCCCTTTCTTCCTTCCAAAGCAGATATTGAGTATCAATCTAACGGAAGGAAGCAAAGGACTACATGTTATGCTTACCACATAGCCGTCAACTTTACCTATAAACTAAGGCAATCTTAGCTGATGACATCGAACTAAAATTATAGTCGCGCTCTAAGCATAACTAAATTATGAAAAGATAAAATGAGCCATATATGCCCCCCCTCCACTTGTAAAATTGAAACCGACATCCAAATGGCTATAAATTTTCTTTTTCCTTTCTTTATATATCGCGTATTCGAGAGCCGCAGATTTTGCATTTATGATCATCACAATTTAACATGACCTTAAATATCGCCGGTATATCGCAAAAATGAATACTCTGCAATTCACACAAATACTGCGCCGCGAACGATTGCAAGTAGTTATTTTTGCTACTTCCAGTCGTAGCGATATGAAGACAACAAAACGAGCTTTACTTAGCAAATAAACATTTCAATCGAAATCACTGTATTCGTCCTCAATGTGCCTTGATAATGATATATGTCAATTACATCGAAACAGTGAACTGTTAAAAATTATTTTCGTTTTCGTGCTGCTAACTCCGAAATCATAAAAAATAGTCGCTGTCGACTCTGAGAGATGTTTACTGTGTCACTGAACTGTAACATCGATATAATCCAATGCGCAAAGTCAAACTCCTCCGAAATGCGTGAGCAGTTTCCGGAATCACAAACGGCCGATCTGAATTAAGCCGGAAGTCGGTCTGAAACAATATGAATATTGGTCGATCGCAAAACGAGGTCATTTTACTGCGACGATCGTTCTCATGCCACTACTTTCGTATAATAATACACTTTCTTTTTGTTTTCCCAAAAGGTAATAGTACACCCTTTGTCACCAAAAGAATTAAAAGCTACTCAACCACCCAGGTAAATCTAAGAAAACAGATATATGCCACACGAAATGGAACTCAAAATATCCGATAATCGCCCAGGTTTGGCTGTTTAAACATTAAACACATTCATGCATTACAATTTCAAGTAAGGCACGCGTTGGTAAATAATAATTTAAAACTGTCCAAAATCAATAAACACAAATCAGAATTAGCTGATCGATTTTCGATCCGTGCGATCGTAAACAAGCATTTCAGCATGCGTGAGGAAGCGAATAACCGACATACACGGTGCGCGGAAATGATTAACGAAAAATGTTACACAGTCGTGAAAACTTTTGATATAATTTGCTGCATCAGACTGAAGCAAGTATTAAGCAAGTATTATGATGCAAACAGACGTTTGCGCCACAGTTAAACTGAAAAGTCTGCAAAGCACCTTACTTGGGGCATACTGAAAGCCATTTTACCAGGTGGAACCTTGTTGTCATTTTTTACAACGAAAATGAACCGGTGTGCGGGGCCAGTCTTCACCTCAACATACCTAAAAAACTTCGATTTTCATCATTCACAATGTGACGATCATCAGAAAGAGGGAGGAAGGAGAGTTACCGTGTAGCATCTGCTTGGATGTCTACGGGACTGACATACGCACAGTTCGATAATGCCCATTCCTCGCGAATCGCTTTCGTTGTCTTCAGGTGCTAAAAACAACAACAGTTGCTGAGCCTGGATGACCGAAAACAATATCACTTGAGCCATTATCTGATGTTCCTGAGAAGGATGGGCCAGACACAGAACACACCAAACGCAACAATTTCGCAGACTCAGACAACTTCGAGTCAGATGCAACGGCGGACGTCCAATACGATAGTCAGGAAAAGCAGACACTCGACAAATCGAGCACAAAGTCAACCCAGTCACCACTCTGTAACTTAATAAATTAAACGGCGCTTCATGATCGTTGCCATCCCTAATGTCACTTGGTCACGTGTCTCCTAAGTTCGCCAATCGATTTTCTCTCCTCGTACGGCCACTATGCAGGTGCAGGCGGAAGTGGAACGAAACGACTATTCAACGTGTAGTCCGTGTGCGATCTGACGTAACAACGTTTGATTAGGCCGAGAGGCTCAGACACACGTCTGGCTGTTGTCGCTATCCAACCGTAGGTGGTCGATACGAAGGCGACACCGAGGACTGGTCGATACTTGACACTTAATGCCTTCTTCTAAACCAAGACAACCGCTGGCCAAACATCTGAAAAATAAAATTCTACAAACTTCAAGATAACAATCATCAAAAAGGTGCAACAACGGCTGAAGAATTTAAGACATTCATCTCCAGACAGGACATTTAAACAACGTCATCCCAACAATTCCTTTGTCGTGTCAACTTTCCAACAATTCCTTTGTCGTGTCAACTTCTAAATTCGCAACCTATTCAGCTTCGTTAGATACGAAGTTTTCATTAAGCCACACATTCTTTCAGAAGGTATCGTAAATCAAATATATTTTTCATGGCCGTTAAGACTTGAAACGATGGGCATTCTAAAAAATGAAGTTTTTCGTCTGACGGTTTCTGCATGCAACAGTCGCGAAAGCCGGTCGCTCCACCATTAACATTCAGAATGCAGAACGTCAGGACAGATAATGCAGGACAAAAGATCTGCAGGTGCAACGGTGAGAACAACAGCAGACGACGAGTGCTTTCATTTCAAGTACCTCAGTTTTATAATCATCATATACAGTTTCCGCCATTCCCGCTTCCCAAGGATGAGAAATGAGGAAGGTTGGAGACCGTGGCAAGTCTCCGTAAAACTCAACCACCTGCCACTCATGGTATTGACGCCTTCGAAAATTATACCGGCTCGGTCGTCGCCCGGGTTATCAAGG